ATTTCTCGGCCAGAAGGCCTTTTGCTTTTGCGGAGGTGAGACGGACAGGGACTCGCGGAGCTAGGTGTCTGAGGAAAGAACGGGCTTTGGGCCTCGGCGCCCGCGGATGTCTTGGGGCGCCGCTCAGCCGGCGGCGACAACACCCGAGCTGCTGCGGTTTTTCGCGGCTCGAGTCCGGCCCGCAGGCCCCGCCCGGGTTCGCCCGACAGTGCTGGCCGGCAGCTCGGGCGTCGCTCACCTCTGCCAGGGCCTCTGTGGGAGCCGGTGGGGAGCCCTAGGCGGGGCACATCCCTGTCACCCGTACGCCCTGCTCATTCCTCTCGGCGGCCTTGGCAGTTCGCGGACCTGGAGGCTTTCCCAGAGTCCGACGTTAGCCCTGTTTGTCTGCGCCAAAGGCCCTGGCCAGCCGCCCGGGGGAGGTGGGGCAGGCACTGCGGCGATCCAGGTGGCTGGAGTTCACCTCCAGCTTCGAGGAACACACTTGGGAAGGAAGGTTCGTCCTTTGTGGCAGACGCGGTTTGGCTTTATTTTCCTCCCCAAAGAGATCTCCCTCACCGCCCTGTGTAGATCAGGCTGCCCCGGGACTCCAGAGATCCTCCTGCCTCTGCATCCCGAACGATGGGAGTAAAGGCGTGCGTCACTACGCCCAGCTTGTTTGTTTTGTTTTTTTAACCCCCCCCCCATATCAACATTGCAGAGAACGAACACTGCTTTTAGGCTGTGACATCCCTATCCCTGAAGTAGTCAGCATTCCCAAACCCCATGGACCGGTAGTCACCTGTCTTCTGTTACAGCTGCCGCTGTTTGACCTAACTTTGAACAAGCACCCGAGGGCCTCTAGTTCCCCACTTAAAAAATGTCCTTCGAGAGACTGGAAACTTAGGTCTTGATGGTTTTAATCCGTGTGCTTAGTGTGGAGTTTCTAGATAACCATATGGTTTTTAAAAGGTGATGGAGAATCGCTTTTCTAATTTGGATATAAACTGGTTCCACTGTCTTATTTTACTGAAACACCGAGAATTCTATCGTGTAGGCTTTAAGTATTAGAGATGGTGTAATATTTTGAGGTAGCTTTCCTTCCTGTGCATGAGAAGGAACTTTAATCATATATGAACCCAGAAATCCTTTACCGTATAAGTAAATATTTCTGTGTTGGTTTGTTTGAGACAAGGTCTAGCTCTGCTAACCAGGCTGTCATCGATCCCAGTGTCTCAGAGCCCCGCCTACCTCTGCCCCCAGAGTGGCGTTTGCCTCCACACCTAAGTAAATTATTTCTGTACTTTGCTGGGGGTCGGGGTGGGGGGTGTTCAGGAGTAGTTGGGAGTGGGACCAGCTGCTGGATTTTAAGTAGTGAATCTAACTAGAGGAATGGAGCTCATGGGATTCCTTTACATTTTAATGTTTGCATATTAGTATAATTTGAGAACTCTGACTTGAGAGAGGTAAACTGGTTGCAGCAGTGTGAAATAGAAGGGGGGGGAGGGAACTGAAGCAAGCACTTGTCTTGTGAAACCCTGCATAGTGGACAGTCAGAATGATGAGTCACCAGAAGCTTTAAATTTGCCTGCTGTTATTTAAGAGCACCTAGTGGCCATGGCCTGATGTAGTGCTTAGTTTGACTTGAGAATCAGGGTTCATTTCCCAAAGAAACGGAGAACAAAAGCTTAACCAGACCAAAACCTAAATGTAGTTGAAATACAATTTTGATAATAGAAGGAATGGGTCGGCAGAATGTCAGTAGAAATAGAAAGATGAGTGCTTCTCTGAAGAAAGCTTGAGTTTGGGCTTTTGTCTCAAGTAAACCTGTAGTGTTGTTTATTTTGCTTTGCCATATTGAAATGACTATATCAAAGGGAATGAATGCTTGCCTTACTTTTACTGAGATGCCTAGCAAGAATTTAGGGGAGGGAGGGAGGGGGGAGGGAGAGGAAAAAGAGAGAGAGTGTGTGTGTGTTAATCCATGCTGTCTGTCTTTTTTAACTGAGCTAAAAGAGAAGCCACATTATCAGAAAGATACCTGGCAGGCACAGAACTAAAGTAGAATTTACTGGATATTTGGGCAGGGAATACAGAAGAGTCCTTGCCTAGTAATTAGGAACTCCCTTTCCCCACATTAAACATCCTCAGTAGTCAGGACAAAAAAAATTTTGATATCACACCCTATGGTGTGATGCACACCCTTTCTTAGGAACATTTGGAAGGAGAAACTGAAGTTGCCTTCTTTTCAAGCCTGGAGCTTAATGGGTTAGAATAGTTTTTAATTATTTAAACAAGCTGAAAGTGTTAACTAAATTGATTTTGCTCCATTTGGGCCTTATTCGGCTTCTTTGCAAATTTGTGCTTTTCCCGCCCCCCGCCCCCCCCCACACCCCTTGCCTGGCAGAGTTCAGAATTAGGTTTGACTGGAACTGCAGAGACTGCTCAGAGGTTAAGTGTGTACTGCTCTTGTAAAGGACCTGAGCTTTGACTACAACTTTAGGAAATCCTGTGCCCTCTTATGGCTTCCATAGGTAATTGTATGCATGTGCAACACCCCCCCCCAATAAAATTAATCCTTTAAAAAACCTAAACTGCTTTGGGGAGCAGGGTAGTTAAGTGAGTAAAGGTGCATGTCTTTGATCTCTGAGACTAACTATGGCAAGTTGTTAACATTGGCATGCAGCATTCACACACATGTAAAAAGGGTAAATGTTAGGTACTGGGCCTGGGAGAAATCCGGACTGTATATAGGAAGCTGTAGATGAGGTTTGGGCATTGTTAATATTATCTGATGTCACTGGTCATGCCTCAGTTTAAGGATTGCTCTAAGTCTGTCATTTAGAGAAAGAAACTCTACAGAGTTTGAGGGAAAAAAACCCTCATTAATGAAAGTCTCTTTACCTTTAAACCAATCAATTCCTTGCTTCTCTCTCAGTTATTTGTATTATACTTTGCCAGGCTGAAGGACATTAGCCCTAACTATAGCATAGGTGCTGTTCTTATATTTAAATCTTTGTGCATTCATTTCTGTCTTGACTTTTAAAATCCAAATTGAGAGGCTGGAGTTGTGGCTCAGTTGGTACAATTACTAACATAAGAGTAACCTAATTAAAAAATCAGCATAAATAGAAGGTAACAAGAAATAATCAATTTCTGCCTAAATGCTATGTCTAAGCTTGAACTATTTTGTGTGTCAGGGGTGTGTGTGTACGTATATTCTGATTCATGTATGGGCCAGAGATCAATGTGGGTATGTCCATGACTCTAGAACTATTTTTGAGGCATGGTCTTGGTGAATCTGTAGCTTGCCAATTAAGACCGGCTAGCCATTGAGTTTCAGGGATTCATATGCTCCACCCCCACCCCCAGGTCTGAAACAGTTCTATGCCATGGTGTCTGACTTTTATATGGATGTGAGTGATATGAACTCTGGTCTTCATACTTGAACAGTGTACACATTACTGGCTAAGTAAATCTCTTCAGCCCTGAGCAATTTTAATTGACTCTTAAAATTTAAAGAATAGCCAGGTGCATTGATGCGTAGCTTTAATACCAGCACTTGGGTGTCAGAGGCAGGCAGATCTCTGTTTGGGTTCAGCCTATTCTACAGAGTGAATTCCAGGACAGCCAGGGCTACTTGGAGAAACCCTGTCTCAGAAAACAAACAAAAATAAATAAAATTAATGAGTATCTCTGAAGGCAAACACTAGAGGATTCACCCTTTTACTAAGCAGTGAAAGAAAGTGTGTTAAAAGCTCATTTTTTCATTTAGTATTAGGTCAGTTCCAGTCATCAGTCATCTCATATAGCAGTGCTATTGTGTTCTAAGCTTTGGGAAATGTATCTAAAAAGGATTTTAAGAGCCTGTGTGGCCTTGTGTATAGTTATATAACCATCTTTAGCTTTCAAACTTACCCTTTCCCCCCTTCCTGGTTAACAGATGCGGCATTCCAAACGAACTCACTGTCCTGAGTGGGATAGCAGAGAAAGCTGGGGCCATGAAAGCTACAGTGGAAGCCACAAACGGAAGAGGAGATCGCACAGTAGTACACAGGAGAATAGGCATTGTAAACCCCATCATCAGTTTAAAGACTCTGATTGGTAAATGACTTGTATTTTAAGTTCTAACAGTTTTAACAGTTTGTCAATTGCTTATAACTTTTATTAAATTCAGAATTCAGGCAACATGCTTATTCATTCAAAAAACAGAGTGCCATGTAGCTAGCTTCTATAGTGCTGAGACTATAGCTGTGAATAGAATAGTTTCTCATATGTCTGACTGGAAATGGTAGGAGATAGAGTCTCAGCAAGTGAATGAAAAATAGGACTCTAGGGATGTATCTGGTTCAATGCTAGAACAGTTAGTGCCTACTATGAGTGATGTCCTAAAATCCTTAGAAACCTCTCCACCAAAAAAGTGGAAGGAAGGCAGAAGAATATATTCAGCAACATGTACAAAGTTGTAATAATACCCAATAAATGGTCTTAACTTGTATGTATATTTGGGTGTGCAAAAAAGTGTTTCACAATTGAGGTACCATAGAGGGTGATTAATCCAGGTGAGAAAGGCAGCATATGCTATTTGAGAAAATTAAAGTGCTTTGGGGATTAGTCACTAGTGTTCTATAGGTTATGTTTTTAGAAGAAAATCAATGGGTATGTCTGAGATTTTTTAGAAACTTGCTTTATTTTGAGAACTGTTCCTTTCCATGGGCATTCTCTGGTAATTTAGAATAGAGCTTCAGTAAAATATTATGGAAATCTTGTTTATTATAATTGTCATATAAAGTTTGGAGACAGTACATTTATATAGAATTAAAAGAATCTTAAAGTTCTAAATAGTAAAGAAAGACTAGGTGAGTAGTTTCTTTTACTCTGCTTTCCATTAATTTCCCTTTCTCATTTGTTTTGTTGGTTCTATGTTTTCTCCTTGTTTGTACAGATGTTCCATTGGGGCTGTTTACCAGATTGCTTTCTAAATTAGCCAGCTGGGGTTACTTTAAAAAACAGTATGTAATTTTTTTTCCTTCTCCGTGCTAAACAGAGTTGTTCTGCCAAAGAGCTTGTTTGTAGTTCTTGTACAATGATCATGCTTTATCAATTATTTAAGGGGTAAGGTTTATAGCAAGATTCAATGACCAGACATTATTAATTAACAGTACATAATACAAATTGTCTGTACCTCATTATTAATTCATACAAAATACTCTTTAAGGCTTACCATCTTAAAAGTATTTATTCATAGTGCTAGTGTGTATTGTATATGTGTAAAGGTTGATTTGAGTGATTTATGTTCATATTTAACTATAAAAACCAAGTCAGTCTAATTAGCCTCTAAGCCACCATCACTGCCTTCTTTGACATTGACACCAAAACAATTTGTTGGTGGTCATTCATCCTATTCTAAAATATTCATTAATTGTAAAACATCTTTTTGAAAGATAAGCATTTTATAAATATTTTAATAAAATGACTGGGAAATTAAAGAAGCAGCAAAGCATAAAGAAAGCAACAGCAGGATGGAAACCATTGCCTGTGACTTGATTGAATTACTTCTCACTGTCTGTTCCTAAAGGATCTTTGTGTACAAATCTTTGCCTGGGAAAGTAGATTCTAAGAAGAGGCATTTGCAAGTTAAAGGGTATGAAGTCTCACAAGGTTCTTGTTGCACATTCTCATTTCTTTTCCTAGAAAGCTTATAACATGCTTCTTCATGCTGTCTCTAGTTTTGTCTGTTTTAAATTATTTTCTTAAAGAAATCTGAATTTTTAAATTTCTAATGAATTTGTTCAGGTTTTATGGAGAGTTTTTACATTGTTTTCTATTAAAGTGTTTTTCTTACTGATTTACAAGACTTTCTATTGTGTATTTATTAATTGGGCCCTTTGTTAAATGCATTGTAAAGCCTTTTTCTTGATTTATCTTTTGGCAAAAACCTGTGAGTTGGTCTCTATTCTGCCTCAATTCTGGGAAGACCAACATAGCTGTAAATAACCTTTACACAGAATGCCAAGTTTTAAACCTCTGATAAACTTCTATGACTAGAAATAACTTAGAGGTATACAGACTAAGATTCAGATTCAGTATGACCTGGGTCCTCATTTATAAACTCTATATTCAGTGCTAGTAGGATGTCCTTTCACAAACACCCTCAGTTTGGTGTGTGCGGGCTTCTAGTGACATATTCTCCTGGGTAAAGATTGGCTCTTGATGCAATCATCTACTTGCTCTCTGCAGAGTAAAGTGTAGATACATGCATTCTAAGCCTCTGACTGGTGGTGCTGTCTGTGTAAGATGGCACTATTCTGTTTTCCTGGAATTTCTTCAACTGTCCATTTTGTCCAAATCCTGGCTTTCCTTTAAGATGCTTATCTGCTTCCGTCTTTGTCCTGAATTCTTCCCTAATCATTTAATGAAATTGAATTCTTTGCTTTCCCTGAGTCTAAGCAATCATTAGCACTTTTCAAGTTTTTTTCCTGCATTTGTCTATTTCAATTTTGATTTTTCTTTGTGTGTGTGTGAGTAATCTTATATTATTTGTTGGCAGAGACTTTGCCTTATTTGATTTTATTTTATCTCCCACAGGACCTGTGTGGAAATAAAAACAAATGTCAGTGCACTCAACAGTTTGGGCTGTTTTGAAAAGCTACAATGAAATATTCACTGAGCATTCAGTGGATATTTTTAAAAAATCAAATCTGTTATTCTGTCTACTCTGTCCACAGCTTGTATAATTCTGTAGACTTTAATCTTTAACCTTTGGTCTTTGATTGTCATGAACTGGAAAGGTCCTTCTCATGCTAGCTCTGCTCATGCTAGTACATCACCCCCCCCCCTTTTTTTTAATCATTGGTAGATTGTTTTGGAGTGTCAGCTGGGCCAGTTTCACATTGTATTCCAGTTAAAGATTATCAGTCTAGTTTTTAAGGTAGACTTTGGATGTGTGGAGGTGGGTGTGATATTTTATAAAATTAAATGGGATGCCCTTAGAAGTATGACATCTAGTTTGTTGTGATTCATCTAGATCTCTGTTTTAGACCAATTGACACAGGTCCAGAGTTTTATCCTAATAGCCTGAGTTGTTTGTCCAGGGGTTAGGAAGAACTTGAGAATGATGCTAGGCCGTAAGAAAGCTCAGCCTGAGTTAGATGCCAGTTCTGTTGAGTAGTTGTCCTAGGGATGTTTCTCTCTATTTCTGCTTAAACCAGCACTTGGGAAGAAAATGACAGCATATTCTGGGGAGTGCAAAGGGGTTGAGGGGGGCAGCCTCAGCAACATCTGTCACTCCATTGCTTGTCAGGATTATTTAGCTGATTTGTCTGACTGGGCAGGTGTCCCCTCTCTCCCTCAGTGCTCCATGTGCATCCCTCTTGAAGCTTCGCACTCTGTTGAAGAGGACACTCATCCCAGGTAGAGGGGGGATGGGAAACTGGGCCAATTGAATCTGTCCTTTTCTTTCCATCAGATCAGGATACTTAACTGGGATCCATTGACTTCCTGAGGTCCATGACCACCATGAAGTTCTTGTCAAGTTTTGTTTATGCATTTGTACATTTCTTGGGGGAAAGGGTCTGCAGCCTATCCCATCAGGTTCTCAAAGGGAACTGTGGCGCTGTTTTCTATTTCTTGGGTATTTTGCAAGAGTCACAGAAAATTAGAAATGCAAAGTCAGGCCAGAAAGCTGGCTCAGCCATTATAAGACTAGACTTACAACAAAAAATACACGAAATGCAAAGGCAAATAGAATGGAAGGATGTCCACAGTCCTGGATCCTTTTTGTTAGGAGGGTCAATTTTAGATGCATTTGGCACACTAGGCAGGCCTCAGAAGTTCTGGTGTCTGATTGTCAAACAGAAGTAAGAGAAAGTTTAGACATAGAAAAGAGAGGAGATAGAATAGGTGGCATGTTTGAAAATAGCTTTTGCCACTAGTTTGCTCTGCATATCCTTTAGGGGTCTTAATTCAGTTAGTAAATAAAAGACTGAAAATACATTTAAGGCTCCTGTATCTGTGATACACATTATAGAAGAAGTCTGTTAGGGATATCCAAAATGCACTTACATGAAAGGGAAAAGGAATCCTCTTTTGCCTTTCTCTAAATGGTGTGTCTCTCAGAGAGAGGGAAAGGAAGCAAGTTTCAGATTCCTATGTTGTAAGATCAGTGCATTTCAGAACAGGTTTGCTGGTTGGGTCTTGACTTTTCAGAAGGTAAAGGAACATTTAATTATAAGTATATTGTAATTAAAGCTCTGTTCCTTGGTATGAATTCTTGACAGCACTTTTCTAATGTGGGGTTTTTTGTTTGTGTGGGGTGTGCTTTTTGTTTTGTAGGGTTTTTTGTTGTTGTTTTGTTTTGTTTTGTTTTTTTGAGATGGTTTCATGTGGCCCAGGCTGGCTTTAGACTTGCAGTATATCTCAGGATGATCTTGAATTCTTGATCCTTCTGCCCTCACCTTCCAAGTGCTGGGATTATAGGCATATACCAGCATGCTGGGCTGTAGCAAGTATATATGGAAAAATATGGAACTATTTGGTTAAAATTTAAGTTATCTGAGATAAGTATAAATTTAATCTTATCGACTTGAATTTTTCCTTTTATTGAGTTAGCTATTTAAACCAAGAATTCTTTAAGAATTTTGTTTGAACCTCATTATTTCAGAATAAAGATAATAATTTGAGATCCTTTAATGTGTTTACAGTCACTATTTAGAAGCAAGATGCTTGAATGGAAGAGATTATCGGAGATACATTGATGAGTACAGAAATGACTACTGCGAAGGATATGTTCCAAGACATTACCATAGAGACATTGAAAGCACTTACCGGATCCACTGCAGTAAATCCTCAGTCCGAAGCAGGAGGAGCAGCCCTAAAAGGAAGCGTAATAGACACTGTGCAAGTCATCAGTCACATTCGGTATGAGTGATTTGTTTTTATTTTGAATGGATTCTTGTTTGTAAGGCTCTAAAAGAGTGATAAGTTTCTAAAAGTTTCTTTAATGCTATTTGGATATGCTATAATTTATATTCATATACTTGAATCCTTAAGAAGTGAACACATTCTCATAATTGACACCTGTGTATTAGCTAGTCTTCACTTGCCCACACTTACTCATTCTGCAAACCAGATCATGAATTTGTTGGTTTTAGTAGTAAAAGCATCTTACTTTGTGGTTGTATAGTATATTTAGAAAATGAGGCACCCGTATTTTTCTTTGAATGTGAACTTTTTTTTATTTTGAAAATAAATTGCTTTACTGTTAATTGGCAACAACTCAGGCGGGTCACACTGTTGGGGTGCTTAGCTATTGCTTACTAGTGTATAGTCTAGCTCCTAGTACAGCACATCAATGTCTGCAGTTAAATTTTGCGGAAGCTGTGAACCTGATTGCTGAATGAGAAATGTATTGAGAAAGCCAGACATCTTTAATTCATAAATTTTGAGATACCATTTCCCTCCCGAAGTTTTTTCTATTAGAACTATCATTTACTAGATTGAAGATTGAAGTTAGCCTTTACTTCCCCTGTTATTATAATGTCCATTTTTAAATGTTGCTAAAAGAGAACAATTTCAACCAACCTTGACATTTTTCTGACAAACTAGACAACTCAACTCACAGCATATGGTTATAGCAGAAAATAGTAAATCTTGACATTGCATTCTTTAAACTTCAGACTTCAATTAAATCAGTATTTTAAAGAGACAATTGTGTTGTTTTTTTCTATTGCCACTTTAAGTATCTTATCTGAAAATCTGTTCCTTGCCATGTTTTTCTTCTGTAACATAAACTGTGCCCTGTGAATTTCTGGGGACTGAATTTGAAATTGCTCCTGCCAACTGTTCGTGGCCTGGTGCTTATCTGAATGCCTGAATATCTCCCCGCTGAATGAATTGCGTATTCTGCCCTGAATTCACTCTGATATATTGATTGGCTGGACGATCTTGGTGCTGCCCACTTGCCGTTCCAGAAGAGCCACCGAAGGAAAAGATCCAGGAGTATAGAGGATGATGAGGAGGGTCACCTGATCTGTCAAAGTGGAGACGTTCTAAGAGCAAGATGTATAGAATATTTTTCAACACTTTTTAAACTTTGCAGACAGAATAATCTTTTAAAGAATAGTTTGTCAGCGGGGGGCTAAAGACTCTTCATTGCTTTTTGTTTTATTTTTTGTGGGTTTGTTTGTTTTATATTTCTTCTTTTCTGTAGAATTTAAATATTTCTATTCTTAAAATTCCAAAATAATCAGTGGAGCTTGAGATTAGAGCAAGACAGATAGCTCTATCTAATTGCTTTGTAGCAGCTGAAAATACAATAACTTGAGTGATGAAACCTTAGTTATGCTTTGCTAGAGATCATTTGGAAATATGACACACTTAAGCATTCATTGTTTGAACAACTGGATAATTGTACTGGGGTACTTAGACCTCTCTTTCTCTCCCTCACTTTAGATGAAATCGTGGACACTTTAGGTGAAGGGGCCTTTGGCAAAGTTGTAGAGTGCATTGACCATGGCATGTAAGTTTTCTTTTTCTTTTTGAACATTCTGATGAAATGTATTTTAAAGTGATTGCTATAAGTTTTTCTGAGAGGTATTCAAAAGAATTTCGGAACTCAATATAATTGAGGTGCCATGAGTATTAATTTTGTTAGTCTCTCAGATGGAGGTTACTCTGTAATTAAAAGACTGCTCAAATTCTGTAGGATTCAGCTGCCTTTGGATTACAGAGTAAATTAGAGTACATCCAAATTTACATACTAAAATGCATTTCCTGAACTACAGAGAAATTCTGTTAGGACCTATAGAATAAAGTCTACATTCTGTGGTGGGATATTCTGACCTACCTCATTGCACTCTGTCTCCTAAGAACCTATGTTCTGTGGTTTTACCACTTTTTTTGTAAATGAACTTAAAATAATTTAGTGAAGCAATACCTTTCTAAAAAGTCATTTGAATTTTTTCATCAGAAATAGTTGGTATAATTTTCCAGCTTACTGTAAAGATCAGTAGTTGGGGTTCTTTTTGTTTGCTTGTTTTGTTTTTGTTGTTTGGGTTGGTTTTGATTTTTGAGCGTTTCTCTGTGTAGTCCTGGCTGTGTAGACCCTCAAACTCAAGAGATCCATTTGTATCTGCCTCTGGAGTGCTAGGATCAAAGGCATTTGCCACCACTGCCCAGCTTGTATTTTTGAAAGTAAAGTTTATCTGTCTTAAAACATATTTGATGACTCTTGGTATTATAGCCACTTGATCTATGCTGTTATCCATGAACAAACTGCTTGAATTCATACTTGGAAATGTTTTATTGTTGGGTTTGTTGTGTGGTTTAGTGGTAAAGTGCTTCGCCAACATGGGCAAGGTCCATCACTAGCCAAAAGTTTTAACCCTAAATTTCCTTTCATCCAACTGAAATTGGGGAGATGGCTCCAGAGGTTAAGAACATTGACAGCTCTTCCAGAGGTCCTGAGTTCAATTCCCAGTAACCACATGGTGGCTCACAACCAGCTATAATGAGATCTGGCGCCCTCTTCTGGCCAGCAGGCATACATACAGGCAGAACACTGTATCTAATAAATAAATCTCTTTAAAAAAAAAAAAAGAATTATGCATGGAAATGCCCCAACTCAAAGCCCACCACTCTTGATGTAGCTATTTTGCATGAATTGAGTCTGCTTGGGGGACAGGTGGGGACTTCCAATAGCTTGTAGATAGTGTCTTTACTCAGCTGTTTGGTTCTCTCCCAGTTTGACAGACTCATAGCTATCTTTCAGGACTCAGTTCTGTATCATTGTATAAATTGCTGTTTTCTTGTATGAGTAGTTGGGGCTTCATCTCTTGTGAAGATGTCTTAATGCTCATCTGCCTTGGTCATTAGATGAGGCATGTAGGAGTGAGCCCCATTGCTTGTCTTTAGCACAGAGTAGATCCAGCCTGGCAAATGAACAAATGCTTTGGACAGCAACATACTCTTGTGTGTTTTACTTTGAATTTTTTTTGTATAAAGTATAGATAAATGTAAATTTTTAAAAACAAATGTTAAAATTCCTAAATATTATGTGAGTGATTGCTTTGTTTGGAAAAATATTCTAGAACCTAGTAGTAATGTTCTCTGAAAGATTTAGAACAATAAAATGGGAAACATGTAATTACAATTGTATTTTAGGAGGCTGGGGTAGGAGTATTACAAGTTCAGTGTCAGTCTGGGCTACATAATGAGTTTCAAGTTCAGCCTGAGCTACATAATAGTGAAATCTGGTCTCAAAAACAAAACAAAAAAGGAATGTGCTTTTCACAAGGTATGGAGTTATTCCACTACTTGTTTATTTAGCAGCAGCATCTTTTGTTTTTAAGGGATGGCTTACATGTAGCAGTGAAAATTGTAAAAAATGTAGGCCGTTACCGAGAGGCTGCTCGATCTGAAATCCAAGTATTGGAGCACTTGAACAGTACTGACCCCAACAGTGTTTTGTAAGTATACATTGAACCACAAGTTGTCATACTGTGTGAGCTGCTCACTTCTAGGCACTTAATTATTATTTTGATGTCTTTTAGCCGATGTGTCCAGATGCTGGAATGGTTTGATCATCATGGTCATGTTTGTATTGTGTTTGAACTGCTGGGACTAAGTACCTATGATTTTATTAAAGAAAATAGCTTTCTGCCATTTCAAATTGATCACATAAGACAAATGGCTTATCAGATCTGCCAATCTATAAATTGTAAGTATTCGTGAATACATGGTATATTTTATTGTATTTATTATCTAATCAGCATGTGAACACTTGCAGGTTACAGGTAAAGCTGAAATCCCTTTTGACCCCCATATCATAGCACCAGTTAAAATCTCTGAGACTAATGATGGTTTTCTATTTTCTTTATAGTTTTACATCATAATAAATTAACTCATACGGATCTAAAACCTGAAAATATTTTATTTGTGAAGTCTGACTATGTAGTCAAGTACAATTCTAAAATGGTAAGTTAAAGACTTGTTTTAATTTTGGGTATTGTATTTAAAATTAATTTATCTTGGTGATCCTTCAATGAGGAATTTCACTCTGCTATTCACCCACAAGTGGAGTAGGAACAGGCTGTATATCCCAGTTGGGGAGAGAGAAGAGGGAAGGGCAAAGGAGGGAGGGTTCATTTGCAAGCCTTATGAGTAGTGCTATAGAATGTTTTATGTCTTTATTGAGTTTCATCTTTACTCGCCTGTGTCTTTAGAAACGAGATGAGCGCACATTGAAAAACACAGATATCAAAGTTGTTGACTTTGGAAGTGCAACATATGATGACGAACATCATAGTACGTTGGTGTCCACACGGCACTACAGAGCTCCAGAGGTCATTTTGGGTTAGTACACACCAGACTTCCTTATACTCTAATTGTTGAAGGTCATGGTTAACTAAAATAATGTTAGCAGGATACAGAAATGAGTATTATGTGTTTCTCCTGTGTGACAGTGTTTGTGAAAGGTATTCTAAGTGCTGATTTGTGAACCTGAAGTGATCATAACAGTGGATACATCGGGTAAGGGTATCCTAGTCTTGTGATTGTGAGGTTATGTAGTCACCTATTTCTACTCTTATCGCCAAAGTAAGGCTCTGGTGCAGATGCCCAGGGCTTGCTTGCCTGACTTAGACATGATAGATAAGTAGCAGGAGAAAGAGACAAGCAAGAGCAAGTTAGCCATTATAGGAGGAAGCTGGGAGTGAAAGGGAGAATTTTGGAACTCACGGAATATGTATTACATCTCAAAACTTAGAAGTCACTGATAGGATCGGGGACTTGAAAACATACAGATCTGAAGTTGGAGTCACTGGGAAAGGAATCTGGAGTCTGGGGGACTAGAATACTATGTGCATGTTTTGTGATGTTCCCCATGGTGATGGCAGATTAGAGAAGAAGATGTAGTTAGATGCTATGGTAGAGAGAAGGCAGTTGCCTTAGATGTTAGTACTCAGGTAACATGGGGAAGGGGTGAGAAAAGCAAGTGAGATGATGTACCATAGGATGAGAAGTGATTCATAGAGTAGTCGCCTGAGGAAAAGCATATCAAGGTCTAATGATTGAAAACTTATATCAGAGCTCAAATTCTAGTGTCTACAGATGTTACTGTGTTGCTATATAAGTTTTCCAGTAGTGAGCATTGTGACTAAGTCAGGGTCAGGTGTGGTGGCACCCACCTATAATTCTACCACTTGTAAGACTGAGGAAAATACAAAGTTCAGACCAAGCTTGAGCTACTTGCATTAAAACTGTAAACCCTGAGGTTCCTGTTGTGATCTCCCAGGTAGACTATAAAGAGCACTCGAATGTGGGGAAGAGAGAGACAGCAGTTTAAAGTTGTTCCATAGTAACATGCCTGTTTGTTTTGGATAGCTTTAGGTTGGTCTCAGCCTTGTGATGTGTGGAGCATAGGCTGCATTCTTATTGAGTATTACCTTGGGTTCACAGTCTTTCAGGTATGTATTTTAGACATTTTATTTGATGACCTTTAATGAATTTTATGTTAAGCATGCTTTATATTTAGCTTCCATACAGAAATTTACCATAGGTTATTATTGAAAGTAAAATTTAAATATCACTCTTCTGAAACCACCGTTGATTGAATTTCTACTACTAGTAAGGTTGTAACTTTTTTTAATTTGTGTGACATCTTTAACAAGTAATTCATCTAAGAGTTCATAGTATGTGTTCTGGTTTTCCTCTTTTTTGTCTTATTGAACTTCTTCAAACTTATTGGTATATGTTACTAGTTATAATTCTGCTGTGGCTGTGCTAACCATGTTTCTAAATACATAAATAAAAAATAATAAAAGCATAAAATTGTGGAACTGGCTAGTCATGGGATCATGCTGATAGTTTGATCACTCAGGAGGATGAAACAGAAGGATCAAGTTGTGAGGCCTCACTTACTAGTGAAGTTAAGGCGGGTCATGGCTACAAAAGGAATCTGTCTCACAAAACAAAAACAAATGTGGGAGTGGTAAAATGAATTCCTGTCAGTAATAATGTTTTAAAGGCAATATGCTTGGGCCCTGTAGTTGATAAATGTAAAAAGCATTAAATACAGCACACAGCCCTGCTATCTAGAACAAAGATTGGCAAGCTATTGACTGTTGTGAAAGTATTCCCTGCTGCCTGTTAAAGAGAAAAGGTATTTTGTCAGCAGTTCATCCTCACCTAAAATGTCTTTTGTCTGGCTCTTCAGAGAAAAAGTTAGCCAGTCTCTACTCTAGACCAGACACCATTTCACCTGTGTGTACAACTGCTGCTTTTCTGATGCAGCGACTCTGTGCAGTTAGTTTTGAGTAAGATCCTTGACTTGGGTTTGTTGTCAACTTTGCCTGTTTATGAACTATGTGCCTTTCATCTTAGTCTCTTTGAATCCACGTTCCCAAACAAAGCTCAGAATTGTGGTGAGAATTGTTGGAATGGCTATGTTACCTGAGATTAGTGTCAGTAAATGGTCCAGTTAAACAGTTCATGAAATGGAAATTGTGCATTTTTTGGTTAGATGTTTTTATGTTGATTACCATTTAGGTCTTACCAAACTATCTTGGACTTCTATTGTGTTTGCACCATACAACATAGCTCTTTCAGTATTGTTATCTTTGAAGAATTTATAATATAACTTGTATAGTTGGCTAGTCTTTTTGTTATTATATTTATTTACTTGAGGAAGTGTACACATGTGAAAGATAACTTGTAGGCATAGGTTCTTTTACCATGTGAGTCTCAGGGATTGAACTCAGGTCATTGATCTTAGCAACATGGACCTTTTACCCATTAAGCCTCTCTCTCTGGCCTTTAGTCTAATCTTTTTTTTTTTTTTTCAAAGACAGGGTTTCTCTGTGTAGCTCTGGCTGTCCTAGAAGTCACTTGGTTGACCAAGTTGGCCTCGAACTCAGAGATCTACCTGCTTCTGCCTCCTGAGTGCTGGAATTAGCCCAACTTAGACTAGTCCTTAAAATATATCAGCATATATTTTACTTTTCTCTTTTATGTGCATGTAAGGAAGTAAAAAGTGCTTAATTCCTTTTTCCTGAATTGTTTTAGACTCATGATAGTAAGGAGCACCTGGCGATGATGGAGCGGATATTAGGACCCATCCCAGCACACATGATCCAAAAAACAAGGTTTGTTTTAAGATGCATGCAGTGGCCTTTGCTTAGACTATAGAAAGCATAATGTTCATTCTAAGGACTACAGATTTGGAAGGAAAAAAAGAAATTCTGTACAAGTGATAACTTAGAGCTATATTCTTAGCATTTTTAAAAGGTCATTTCCAAAAATAATTCAGTATTTTAATTTGTGCTCTTGTGGAGAAAGGGATTTTATTTTAAACTGAAGCTAATATTTATGTAGATGTTAAAGTTGATAAAAAAGCAATTGCATCTGAGAGCCCGTTCTTACTGGAATCTGTCAGTCTTGATTGAATTTCCAGTTGTTGCTAGCCATCTCTGTGCCCTTGAACAGGATAATGTTAGTGTTTTCTAGTTCTCATGGGAAGTTGTCAAAAGATTTCTATCCCTGTCCAGATCTGATTAGGTCAGAATTCATCTCCTGGAGTTTCGTGAACAACTTAGTCGGGATAGCTACAATTTCTCAGGGTAGATGAAAAAGGAAGATCCTGCATAAGGTGTCATGTATAGTTGTTGCTAGAAACAGAAAGATATGTGTATACATTTAATGAGAGTGGAACTTTGCTTATTTTACTAATTTCAACTTCTTTTCTCTTGTAGGAAACGCAAGTATTTCCACCATAACCAGCTGGATTGGGATGAGCATAGTTCAGCTGGGAGATATGTCAGGAGACGCTGCAAGCCATTAAAGGTAAAGGAAAAAAGATTAATGATTAAGTAATATTTTCACTCATGTCTTCATTTAACAAGACCATTTCCCCCCAGGAATTTATGCTGTGTCACGATGAAGAACATGAAAAGCTGTTTGACTTGGTTCGAAGAATGTTGGAGTATGACCCAGCGAAAAGGATTACCTTGGATGAAGCATTGCAGCACCCTTTCTTTGACTTATTAAAAAGGAAATGAATGGGAATCAGTGGTCTTCCTATATACTTCTCTAGAAGCAATTACTTTAAGACTGTGTCAGTCAATTAAACATTCTAATATTTTTGTAAACATTAAATTATTTTGTACAGTTAAGTGTAAATACTGTATGTTTTGTATCAATAGCATAAACTACCTTGTTAAGTATGGTGTTGATAATGAATGCAATATGAGTTAAAATGAATTTTCCCTTTTGGTGTTAATTGCCATTTTTAAAGGCCTTTGGAATACCCCTTGTGTCCAGTGATTGATGTGATTGGTCTTGTCTTTTGTATATGATGGTTGACTCTGAAGTGATTTTTTTTTCCCCTTGAGTAAAAGGAAATCTTGACCACTTTGTGTGACTGAGTGTTCTTTATACACCTCAAATGTAGAATTTTTCATGACAAAGGTGTTTTTTTGAAATTGATTATTGAATGGGCAGCATGCTAGGTGGGCTAATTTTAAAAACGAAAACTCAGAAAAATTAGCTTGATGAAGTTTCATTAAATTTTGTTTTCTGTTTTTTTGGTGATGTCCACAGGCCCTCATTGAAAGACACCAGATTAGTCCATAATGAATCAGGCCATACATACATCATTTAAGATTTAAATCTTAGTATTACATTGCAGACAGATTTGAGCTGTATCTGTATTTCAAACCACAAATATATGGAGCTTCTGCATGACAAGTAGTAAGCCATTCTGTACTATAGCTGTATTGAGGTAGTTTTCCTCCTATAGTATTGCTAGGAATTTCAAGGCTATAGCTAAGTGTCACGGAGTCCTACATAAAGCATATCTAAGCTTGTCACATGTCAGTATACACCACCTTCAGAACATTTCTAAAGTCATTGAAGTTACTCCTGAAACTGGCATTGCCACACAGTTTTTCCATTATTTTCCATCTCATTCTTCAGTCCACTCCCTGTGCTTCCCTAAGCCTGTCTTTCCCCCACATGGGCTCTAGGGTCCCAGCCTCAAAAACTTCTCATAGGCTGATCTTGATGTAAAAGGAAAGAAAAATCATCACATTTCTAAAGATAGTGGTTGCTTTTCGAGGCTAGAGAGATGGCTCAGCAGTTAAAGAATATGTATTGTTCTTAGAGAGGCCAACACCTATAACTCCATCTCTAGGGAATCCAATGCTGTCTTCTGACATTCAGGGAGCTGCACTAGTGTGCACACACACGTAATTAAAACAATGTTTAAAGGTAATGGTCTCTTAAATCCATTTCTGAAAATGAACATTCTTCAGGGTGTTTCACTAACTTGTGTTCTAATTTACACAAATAAGAAGTGGTTAGGGTGGTCATTTTGAAATGTCCTTTGCCAAGCATTCTCCCTGAGCTCTCTTCTGCCTGCTCCTACCTTCCTGTTGTTGCACTCATTTTCTAGAAGGTTCATTGCTTTTCACAGTGTTTCTGGCTTCAGCACTAAAAGAAAAAGTCTTAGGCAAGCAAATACATGGATATGGATCATTTATAATAGAGGTAATTTGAAAAAATATTTTTGATTATACATGGATATAATGATGATATCTCCCTTTTCCCTTTTATCTCCCATTTTTTTAAAGGAGGAATGTTATGCTCTTTTAAAAAATGCGCATTCTCTGATAAAAATATACTTGAGTTATTGGGAGAGGTTGGTTCTATATTAGTGTCCTTTTTTTTAATCTAAAAAACTTCTTAATATAAAAATAAAATGAGTCCCTCTTCCCAAACTTATAGCCCAGCTTCAAAGTATTGAAACACATAGCATACTTTTCAATAAGACTACTGCATTGTTTAAATACAAATGCTAGATTCCATTTTTCATCCATAATTCTAAATTTTAGTATCAAACTGTTTGGGCAAGATGGCTCAGTGGCTAAAAGCATTTGCTGCCAAGCTTGACAACTGAGTTGTCATGCATGTCTTGGTAGGCCCACATCCACCTCCATACAAATAAATACAACTAAAAAATTAGCAAAAAAAAAAAAAATCTGGGGCTGGAGAGACCACTCAGAGGTTAAAGAGCACTGGCTGCTCTTCAGAGCTCCTGGGTTCAGTTCCCAACAACCACATGGTGGCTCACAACCATCTGTAATGAGATCTGGTGCCCTCTTCTGGCGTATAGGCAGAACACTACTATACATAATAAATCTTTTAAAAAATAATAAAGATTGATTAATTGCTCATCAAATAAAAAAATCTAATGTTTAGTCTAAGCTTGTCTCAGACGTGTCATACTTGGATTATTATATATACAGGACCCAGCCAGGATGACACATTGGTATCTCTGGCCTTTGCTCTCTCTGTGTTTTATTTTCTGGTTAAGGAGCCATCATATGTCCTTTAACTTATTTTTGGCTGTTTTTAATGACTTTTGCTTCCCTGGGTGATAGGTGGTTGGTAACAAAGTGACTGTTGAGCCTTTGACAGTCAGAGTATGCATCCTTTTTAACTACAAAGTGGTATCCTACACAAGAATGACGGGACAGTTACACCTAATTCCCTGCTGGCTTTGGTCTCCATGCATTCTCTTCAGCAATATAAAGTCCTGCGTGTGTGTGTGTGTGTGTGTGTGTGTGTGTGTGTGTGTGTGTGTGTGTGTGTGTGTGTGTGTGTCCCACCAATGTTCGACCCTCTAAATTGTTTTAATGAAATAGCTTGGTTTTAAGACAAGGTCTTACTCTGTAGCTCAGGCTACCTCAAAATCCTCAGGTGATCCTTCTACCTCAATCAGGGTGGGGCCAGAGCTAGTATGTCTGGATCTTTATAAGATTTAAATGTTTTGTTGTGGAGATAGGATATATAGTCCAGGCTGGCCTTGAACTTGCTTTGTAACCATAGTTAGCTTTGAACTCCTGATATTTTTGTCCCACTTCTCAAAGTTGGGTCACAGGCCTTTATCCCCACCAGGGATTCTTGTTTTTATCCAGAGTTAGGTAGGGTTTCCTTTGTATAAGTTCATATTTCTAGTGTGGTTTTCCTTCTGCCCCAAGTTATGGCATTATCATTTCTCTTTACTGTGACTGTGATGACAATTCTTTTAGCTTTTGTGTTTCTGAGAGTTTTCAACACCCACCCCACTATGAGGCAGTTTCATTCACCAATGCTGGCCTTGAATCTTTCAACTCATGGTCTTCCTGCCTCAGCCTCCTGAGTACTGGGATCACAGGTATGTGTCATTGCCATTGTTGTAGTTCTGTATTCCTGCTGGGTCTGGAGTTGTGTTGATGAAAATGGAATGTATGTTTTCTACCCTGTGGATTGTATTGTAGCCAGGAAACCTGATATTTTGTTCCTTTGCATACGTTTTTCCTTTTTTCTAATTGCTTTTAAGTTGGTTTCTCTTTACCACTCAGCTCAAACAACCTTTGATGTGCCTTGAGTAATTGTCTTCATTGCTTATAGCCCACCAATGCCCTTGGACCAGATGGTATGGGGTCCCCTGCTCTAGTGTTCTCTGCCTTATTTCCTTGAGACAAAGTGTCATCAAACCTGGACCTACTATGACCTAGCCAGCTAACCCCAGTAATCTTGTCTCTGCCTCATCCAGTGCTGAAGTTATACCTGGGTGCTGGGAACTCTTAACTCATGTCCCCACACTTGCAAAGAGCAAGAACTCTTTCCCATTCCCCAGCCGTCACCTAGTGTATTTCTAGGTTTATGTATATGAGTGCTTTGCTTTTATGCCTGACCACAAAGGCCAGAAAAGGGCATCAGATTCCCTGGAACTTGAGTTGGAGATGGTCATGAACGATCATGTGGGTGCTAGGAATTGAACCTAGATTTTCTGCAAGAATGACAAGTGTTATTTTTCTTTCTTTTTTTTTTTTTTTAAAGATTTGCCATTTATTTTATTTGGGTTTTTTTCAAGACAAGGTTTCTCTGTGTAGCCCTGGCTATTCTGGAACGCACTCTGTAGACCACGATGACCTCGAACTCAGAGCTGCCTGCCTCTGCCTCCCAAGTGCTGGGATTAAAGATAGAGGTTTGTTTATTTTTATTTTATATATGTGGGTATTTTGTCTGTGTGTATATCTTGTGTTTGCAGTACCCAAGGAGGCCAGAAGAGGGTGTTAGATTTCCCCCAGAACTAGAGTTACAGATGTTTTTGAGCCACCCTGTGGATGCTAGAAATCAAACCTGGATCCTCAAAGAGCAGCCAGTGTACTCAACTGCTGAACCGTGGCTCCCAGCCCAGTGTTGTGGGGTTTTTGTTTGTTTTGTTTTGAGGGGGTTGTCTTTAAAATTTCAAATTATCATTTTCAAGAATTTGTTTTGGGCCTTTTAAAAAAACCATCTATCATGGTTCCTTGAGCATGAGAAATACAGTCCTAACTTTAATAGCTTTGTCCCTGTCATTTCTGGGTTGCTTGTGAGTACTTTCTCTTCTCTTCATCTTCTCCTTTGCTGTATGATTCAGGTAGCTTCCTGTTGTACCTTTTTGTCTGAATATGCTTGTATTCCTTCGTGCTTCAGCTGTTAAATGCTTACTTGAATCAATTTGATCTGTTCAGGTTTGGCTTTTAAGCTTTTAAGCAAGACCTAGGTCAATGCTTAGTCTAGGGCTCGTCCCCCTCCCCCCACTGTATCAAAACATTGAGTCTCAATGACATCTGATCTGTCGGGTTTTCCATACTAGTGGGCAGGAAGACCCCTGTCCCTGGCAGGTAGGACTTTTTTTGCATTTAGAATTCCAATCATCCAGGTCTGTTTTCCTACTCACTAGGAGCCTAGATCTCCAGCCCTCTCCCCTGCAGCTCTGAACTGCCTTGCTGCTCTAGACTAGCACAGCCACTCAGCTCTTATCCTGGAGGCCTGCCCTGACTGAGGCCCTCTCCTTGCACTGTGGCCTGCCTGGGCAGTCTCCAGAGTCCTTGAGTTGCCTGTTTCCCATCTCCCAAGGCTTATCTGGTGTTGATATCCAGGGCCTTGCAATCTGCCAAGTAGTTACACTGGTTTTGAACAGACTAAAGCTAAATGGTTCCCATTACTACCTGCTTTTTAAAAAGCTGAAAACTGAGGGTCTAAAGGGTTGTACTGCCAGCTGGTAGGCTAGGACAAGAAACACTGAAGACATGACTTTCTTCAATGACAATCTCACCATATAATTAAAACCTTAGAACTTAAGTTAAACGCTGGGAGGAGCTATCTGGAAATACTTACACATAGCTCTGCATCCTTGAGCAACACTGTGAACACATTCAGACCCTTTGGCTACCTGTGTTACCTTTGAGTATCAGCTGGGGGAAGGTCATGCACATTTCTGTTCCAATTACAATGCAGCAAAGGGGTATGGCCAGGTGGCCCATGTATCTCCCTGCTCCTAGTGTGGGACAGCAGTATTCCCTGGCAGTCAGGTTCAGTTACTCCTTCAGCCCCCTGAACAGAATTCAGAGTTGGAGACAGCAAGACAGAGCTCACAATTCATGGGTCCCTGGCTCCCTTGGCATTCATAGCCCAGAGATGGGAGAAGAGCAAATGCCAGGTCTTCACAACTGTGAAGTTGGGTCACAGCTGATGGCTGGTGGTGCCATTCTTGCTTCTACCCCTAGGTTCCTTAGCACATGTGTTCATATTAAGAGCACACCATCACAGAGAGGTACCCTGACTAATCATGTACCACATCTCCAAACTTCACCATTCTGAGTTATTTCACCGGTGCTTTCAAAGGCAGCTCCAGTATTCCAAGGCTGGCTTCTTCAGCCTACTGCAGGATGCAGTGCTAGCCAGTGGTCATGGACTCAACCCGAATCTTTGGCTGATGAGATTGCTTGAGTGGGTGTATTATATGAGATTTCATACCTGTGGGTTACCTGTTATGTGAATGTCCTGCAGGTAGCTAAGACTCGGTAAATGGAAAGACAGCCCATACCTGGAATGGTTAGCCCTGCGGGGGGACAGATCTCTGACTCTTCCTTCACTGAGATAATCCAGCTGGCTAGTTGGTGTCTGAGGAGTACCACGAAGGGGTAAGAAAGAGTGTCTCACTGACAGGATGGCACTCAAAGGCAGCAGTAGCTTGACTGAATGTATAATAGGTTGGGTGTATATGTGTACTCTATCTGCTTTTTTGTGGGCTGCCCCCTGTACTACTATTACTGGGCCAACAGGGGTCTCCAGCAGGAGAGAGAGAGTATTTCGTCTAGCCGCTTCACCCCTCGTAAAGGCTGTGTGCTCAGCCAAAGGTCACAGCTCCTGGTGAGCAGACTTCTTAGAGTACCTGACTTTCCACAGGCTGCCCAGCAGGCTTCTCCTCGCACCCATTCAGCTAGAGATAACAGTGCTTCCCATGACTGTGAGCCTGAGTGCTCCTCCTCCAACCCCCTGCTGTCTTTGCTCGTAGCCTCCATGAAGCCTGTCTACAGTCAAGCTGGCTTCAATCGCCTGTTCTGAGGTGCTGCCTTTTCCTTCTAGGACCTCAGCTGACAAGCAACTGTTTTCTTTCTTGCTTTTCCAATTGAGAATTGCAGACAGTAAACTTATTTTTGTCTTAATCTGCTTACCAAGTGTTTATTGTGCCTGGACTATGGGTCAGATAGTGTTCTGTAAGAAGACAGTGGCTCATGAGACAGGGGGATACAGTTAAAAGATAACTAGGAACAGATGCCCCCATCCCCCGATTAATCATGAAGGGGACTGAGGATGGGGCCACCTTAGATTGGGCAGTCTGGGACAGGCTCTAGAAACCTTGACTTCAAGATTAGGAGCTTGCTCTTCACAGCCTTAGAGGAAGCCAATCCACATAGCCGACAAGAATTGCTCCAGGGGAACAATGAGCTTGGCCTGTTCAATACACAGAAACTTCTAGAGCAGCAGTATCCATTAACACTAATGCTGGTCGGAAATAGGGAATTACCTTTTAGTGAGAATGGGTGTTAACTTGTAATACAGTGTTGGCCTCTTCTCAGAGACCCTTCGTTCGGGACTGTCAGGTTTGCTTAGCAAGTGGTTTTCAGAGCATTTGTTGGGCACACACTCAGTTTTCTCACTGGACCAAGACTGTATAATCACTACCAGGAACTCACTTTATCTGAGGCCACAGCTAGGAAATTTTTGGAAATTGCACCAGTTCAGATGGTCTAGAGGGCAGGGTGCTTTCCCCTCTGAATTAAGGGAGTACGAATTTGGCTGGGGGTCTCAACAGGCTCAACGAACACAGAATGGATAATGTAACCACAGGAATTTAAGCAGACAACCACCGGAGATTCAGGAAGGGAAGGTGGCAAACTAAAACCCATCACAGCTGCCCCTTACCAGGTTCATGAGTGACTCTTCTCAAATGGGTACCACATGCAACAGTTGAGACCCATTTTGAAGTACAAATATGCCTTGTGGGATAAAACCTGGTTCCAACTTTAGTCTCTCTGGCCACCCATGTAAGTGAATGACTTTCTCTTTGGCCCCTATTGGTGTCTTAATATAAGTGTAGTTAAGTCAGTATGGTGCATTCCAGATTTGGCTTGATCCAAGTTTTTCCCTGTGGAATTCAAGTTCTACAAAGTTTGGGGCTCTCTTCCCTTTTATTTTTGTCTGCTTCCCGAACTAAACGCTCTCTGGGTCAGCTTCCTCCAAAGTATGACCATTTCTGTCTAGTGCTCATGCCTGACATAAATGGAGAGAGCATTGACTATAAGAGGTGTCTGCTTTCCCTCCTTCCCTTCTTTTTCCCGTAATATTCTCCTTCCTTCTTTCTTTCCTCCCATTTCTCCTGTGCTCTCTCATTCTTTTCTGTTCTTTCTGATTCTCTACCAAGTCTTTCCATGCCCACGCGCAACGGTCACTTTCGGCCACCAAGCGGCGCTCATTGACCGTCTATGACGGACTTCTAACAGTCCCACAGGGTTCCAAGTTTTGGTTTGCAAGTGTCAGAGAGGTCAGTCTACAAGTTTGGGGGTCGCTCCTAGGACAGAAACCGCGCCACAGTCGCAGGAGAGCTGCGGGAGAACCGAGACCAGGCGCGTCTGGCCCTCGGGTGGTAACGGCTGGGCACCGAGACGTGCGCACTGGGACCCTCGTGGCGAGAACCCGGAGCCGCGGATCCGGTGAGCGCCGGGGGCCCCCCGCCCTCCCCGACCGGCCGCTCCTCCCCTGGGTGGGTCCCCACGCCTTTTCTGGCGGGGTCTATTTGCATAGAGGGAACTGCCCGCAGTGGCCGCTGCCTTGGAGCGGGCAGCGAGGGGGGGCGTGCGCGATCCGCGGTCGCCGGGACTCCGATCCCCGCAGACGCCGACCTGGAGTCTCCCCGGGCCGCAGCCCCGACGCAGAGCCGGCTGGTAGCCATGGGCGCGAGCGAGCGCCCGGCGGGCAGGGGAGGCGCGCAGGACCCCAGCGCGGGCTGCGGGGCCCGGGTGCTGGGCGCGCTGTGCCTGCTGCTGTCGGTGGGCTCGGCCACCGCCTGCCTGCTGCTGGGCGCCCAGGCGGCCGCACTGCACGGCCGAGTGGAGGCGCTGGAGCAGGAGCGCGAAATTTTGTGGCGCGCGGGGCCGTCTGGAGCCCTGACCGCCTGGGCCGAAACGCACCTGGAGCGCCTGCTGCAGGAGGTGAGGCGCACGATCGCCGGCCAGGGGATGTCGGTCTACGCGCCGGGGTGTGGAGGTGCGGGAGTGCGGGGAGTGCGGGGGTGGCGTGATAGTCACCCCTAGGAACAGGGTTCGCTTAGTGGATTGCTCAGGGGTCGTTAGTCGTGAGGTGTCCTGCTGTCCGGCTCGGATGCCAGGATTTGCATTGTAGGAAAAACAATCCAAAGGGGGTCCTTTAGGGAACACGCAGGAGCGGGGTAAGGTAAGATCTTAGAGGAACAGCCCTGATCATTGCATTTTGTAGTAAAGTGTGCTCTCAGACTCACCGCCTCCAGCTTGCTCCCAGCGCCCGAGACGCTAATTAGGCTCGTGCGTCCCCACGCCTGATCGGCCTCTAACAGCCCAGACCCATCAAGGCTCGGGCCAGCACTCCCTTGCCTCCATGCCCGGGAAGGTTTGGCTGGGAGCGACTCTGGCCCACTGAACCCGAGCATCTGTACAGCGAGTGAGGATGCAGCTGAGCTGCTTCTGTGTGCATTTGTCTGGTTGCAATCTCCACAGTGCACTCCAAAGTGTCTTCCATTTGTTTTCTGAGGCTTAAGACTGTTTTTGTGAGCCGGGCTTGATGGCTTGTCTGTAATCCCAGAATTTGGTATGCTAGTGGCTGGCTTATGTTATATAGTTAAGATCCAGATCCAGTCAGTGCTACTGAATAAGACTTAAAACAACAATAGCAGCGGAACATGAGTGGCACGTGGCTTTAATCCCAGCACTTTGGAGGCAGAGGCAGACGGATCTCTGTGAGTATGAGGCCAGCCTGTCTAGGGCAGCCAGAGCTATAAAGTGAGACTCTGCCTCGAGGAAGGAAAAAAAGATCACATTTTGCTCTACCTCTGAGCCTCCGCATTCGATATGCTGGGCAGAACCTCTACGTTTGTGTAGCAGACACCAGCACACTAGTTAGTCTTCCTTGGCTCTGCTTCCCTTGTGGGAATGGTTGTCCTTCTCCTGGGGTGGTGGCTGCCCCAGGTCTAAAGAGGTGGGGAGGGGGGTCACTCCTAAGCACAGTAGAAAATGAGCCTTGCTTCATGGTAGAGAAAGCATGAAGGCAGGTGGGCTATCTGCCACCCATTCCTAAGCTGTGCCCATCTGTGATCTTTGTTACTGTACTGAGCTGGTCAGGGCTGGGGGTGTAGGTCCGTGGTGGAGGCTTGCTTAGCATGTGCGAGGCCTTGGCTTGAACCGCTCTAGTCAGATACATACATTGAGCTGTGTACCCGAGGTAGGGTGAATTTGGGACTTCAAAGGGATGGAGGGACCTCCTTGTTCCCCACAGTTCCTTCTTAGTTGCTTTAAGAAGCCAACGTTACCTCTCCTGCTTGCTTCTGAGCAAAATTGCTCCTTCCTGAATGATTTCCTCTTTCCCTTTGAAAGTGCCTGCAGAAGACAGAGCCCTGCCAGCAGCTTACAGCAGTAGTTTCATAATTGCCACCGTTATCCTCTGTCAACCCCCTAGAGACTGGGGTGTTGAGCGGCTTTGTGGAGGGTCAGTTACGTGTGAATACCCCAACCATGCTGTCCTTCCTCCCTTCCTTCCTTTCTTCCTCCCTCCCTTCCTCCCTTTCTTCCTTCCTTCCTCCCTCCCTTCCTTCCTTCCGCCCTCCCTCCCTCCCTTCCTTTCTCCCTCCCTCCCTCACTCCTTCCTTCCCTCCCTGCCTCCCTTCCTCCTTCCCTCCCTCTCTTGCTTCTTTCTTTTTTCTTTTGGCTTTTTGAGATAGGGTTTCTATGTGTAGCCCTGTCTGTCCTAGAACTCACTTTGTAGACCAGGCTGGTCTCAAACTCACAGAGATCCGCCTGCCTCTGTCTCCTTAGTGCTGTGATTAAAGGCATGTGCCAGAGCTGGCTCGTGCTGTCCTTTCTTTTGTTGTTGATGTTGTTTGGTTTTTTTTCATGTTTTTTTATTTAAATAATTATTTCTTATTTAGGTTAGGAACAAGCTTGCTTCACATGCCAATCCCAGCTCCCTCTCCCTCCCCTCCTCCCCCGCCCTCCCCACCAGGTCCCCCAGTCCCCCACCCAATCTCCACTCCAATCCCCAGGGAGGGTGAGGCCCTCCATGGTGGATCTCCAGTGAGACGAATAAACTACAAGCTGTGACCAGGAAACCAGAAATTCCCAGAAGACCTTTGTATGAGGAACTCACAGGTTGTGTCTAAATTGATAGGAACAGATTTGTGACGAAGCAGACCCCCCCACACACACACACCAGGAGTGTTGACACCTGTGGGCGGGGCTGGACCTGGGGCCTGGCCCATGCTCTACCACTGACTAGACCTCTAGCCTCGATGCTGGCTCCTCAGTCCCATGGTCTCTTCCTCCCATCCTTTCCCCTTCTTTTCCTCTTCCTCCTTGCCCCTCTGTTTCTCCTTTTCTTTCTTGTTTTTGCCCTTCCTTCTCTTTTTCATGAAATATTTATTTTTGAAATAGAGTCTTGCTATATAGTCCCGGCTTGCCCGGGACTTGCTATATAGCCCAAGCTGGCCTCAAATTTGCAGTGATCCTCCTGCCTCTGTGTCCAGGGTGCTGAGATTACAAAAGGCACGTACCACCATGCCTAGCCTCATAATTTTTTTCCAGAGACAGGGTCTGTATTGTTACGTATCCCTGGATAACCTTGAACTCAATGCTAGCTTCGTACTCTGGACTTTAAAGGCAAAGGAAAAAAATCCAGGCCCTGAGTTCTCCACCCCTACCCACTGAGAACTGCTGTGTCCTTCAACACGGTGCCATGGCCGTGTATCCACGTTCTGAGGCACTGTGGTGCTCGGAGTATAGACTGTGGGGTTTAGAGTGTAGATGGGATCCTTTCTCTTCCTGGAAGACTCAGAGACAACCCAGCACCCACACTTGAGTGTTGTCTGTCTGTCGGGGGTCTCTCTCTTCATAGTGACAAGGCCTCACTCTCCCTGAGTGCCATTTGGTTCCTGCTGCTTGTTAAATGTTTCTGGATGGGAAATGCACACACAGATCGTGATGGGAAATCCGTGGGAGACACTTTATGGGGAGCTCACAGTTGGCTTGACCTCGATGTGAAGTTTTTCTGACCATTAGGTATGGAGGATGAATAATTATTGAAGTGAACATCTCTTAGGGAAAGGATACTTGGATGCAGCATGTTCCCTAGCTTGCCTTGCTCCCTGGGAAGCACCTTTTTTAAGTCACTGCTGAAGTAGCTGTGTATATACAAGTGCCTGCTGCTTGCCCTTTCACCAATAAAGTCGTGTGTGGTAGATCCGAGGCAGAAACTATGTCCAAAATTAAAAAAGAAATTCTTGCCAGCCACATACAAGCTTAATGTCAGGGAGAAAAAAATGAGTCAACAAAAGCCACTGTTTATAGGGGACCCACTGTCCCTGTTCCCTTGGGAACAGAACCATGACATCAGTTTTTCTGGGGCTGGCTGATGCGTCTGATAACGTAGATACAGAAGGAATATTCATGTTCTGTCATGATTATCGAAGGACCCTTCCTGCAGTACATACAGGAAAGAAAGGACTTTCAGAATATCAAAACAAGATTTCTAAGTGAGAGCCATTAAAGGCAGTATCTTTCGTAGGATCTAAAAATATTCATGCAGAACCAAACATCTCCTATTCTGCTTTGAAAGTGCCTTAAGTAACTGCCCAATTAATCACTGGGTCAGCAGTTACACCTCCAACTTCAGTATGCAGGAGCTGAGAATTCAGAATGCATAGCTCTCATAGAGCAGTAAAAAAAAACTTAATGCAAAGGATTAAAGCAATATTTGGTTGCGTTCAGAGAAGGCCCTTTCCAGCTTACAGTGGATTTATTGTTGGCTCTTGGCCTTCTATTGTCCAGACCAGCGTGAAAACAAGGAAAGTCCAGAGAGTTGGATAAAACTCTTGTTCCTTCTTTCTACTTTCCTTCCTGTGTGTATTGGTTGTGTTACTGTCAGATCCAGAAATCCGGTGTGGTTTTCTCAGCGCCTCTGGTAGTCAGCTCGTCAGAGCTGCTCTGTTGAGTCTCTGTTAATAAAGATGCCTAGAGTTGGAGTATAAATCAGCTCTGACTCGTTTCCTTGACGTTTCCCTGCTCCTAATAGCTCGCCCCTCAAAAGAAGTTTCTTTCCAGTTGCTTTCTGGCACACTCACTCACTTTCTCTTTCTGCTTTCCCCTCGTCTTTAAAACTTTTTTAAATGCCGCCATTTGGGAGAGCTTCACAGTAATAGCAGTGTGTTTAGAAGAAGTCAACTGTGCAGGGTAGGGAGTTCTCTCCAAAGATGCTTTAGAGTTGTTGAGTTTGTCATTTCCAGGCTGACTTTGAAGATGGGGTGGAGGTGGGGGTCAAGGCAGGCTTCTGAAAGGGAAGCAGGGTGCGCTGGAAGCTGACAGAATGCTACCACAGGATGGAGCAGGGCAACGCTGCACATGGTACCCACCCCAAGAGGGGATGAGACCTGGACCCGATGTTTACAAGCTGTCATTTGACTGCTCCAGCTTCCTGCACTCCAGCCTCCTTTCTCTAATGCAGGTATCTGATGGCTCATGGCTCCTGTAATGAAACGCAGGCAAGCTGATGCCAAGGCCACTCCTGGCTGATGCTAGGAAGGGGTCGGGTTAGGATGGAGATGGAGATATTCCCCTAAAGGCTCACACATTGACAGCCTAGTTGCCGGGGTGCCAGTGCCAGGAGGTGGTGTGGGCCTGTAAGAGGTGGTAGAGCCCAGTTGGAGTCTTGGGTCAGTCTTAGGCATGCCAACCTTTAGATTATAGGATGCTATCCTGTTGTTAGATTATAGGATGCCCTCCTGTTAGATTATAGGATGCCCTCCTGTCCTGACTTCCTGATGGTGCTGTGGTCCATACGCTCCCCTTTCATCCTCTATTTCTCTCTCTTCCTCTCCCTCCCTGCCATCATCTGCCAGTAGGTCATGACCGGAGGCAAAAAGAAAGAGGTTGCCTGATTTTGCACTTTCAGTCTACAAAAGTGTGCTAAGTCT